TATATGTCGATTCTTTTTCCCCATTTAACTCACCTATTTAAAATTATATTTTTTTATAATTTATTATTCTTCTATTTCCCTTCATTATTTATTTGTTTATTATATTTTAATTTTTAATTATAAACAAATCGAAATAAACCTTTTTTAATTATTTGTTTACTATATTTCATTTCAAAAGTCTTAATAGTTTATAAAAAAATTGTTAATCTAACTTAATATTCAAAAATTAACAATACAATTAAAAAGTTTAATTATTTTTCAATTTGTTTTACAAATAGAGTCATCTTTTAAAAAAAAGTGACAAGTACTTTTTTTTTGTTGAATTAAAATACGAAAGCACTGATGGTATTTTTTTAAGAAGATTTTCTATTTTTTTTTCTTTTATATAATTACTATTCTTTGCTATTTTATATAAGAATCATTATAACATTGATTATAATTGATATAAAATTTACAATCAATCTAACTTTTTTTTTTGGCTCTTATGAAAAAGGGACCTTAATAATCTAGAACTTGTGCCTAGATATTAGGGATGTCAATGGGGCGGGGCGGGGCCGGGGGGACACTTCCCCATCTTTTTCCCCGCCATCAAATTCATTCTCCGTCCCCGTTCCCGATCTCCGTCACGGGGGAATTTCTATCCCCATCCCCGTTCCCCGCGGATCCCCGTTTCTCGCGGGGATCCCCATAGATCCTACATTTATTCATTAATATTTTATTTTTTTAAAATGTTTATATTTTCTATAAAAATAAAAAGCACAAAGAATTCACATATTTATTATGTTATTAAAAAATACTAGTATTTGACATTTATTATTTTTTATTAAAAATACTAATGGAACACAAAATAATAATATTTTTTTTATAAATTTCTATAAAATGCTATAAAATTCAACAAAATGAACTATAATACTTTTTAAAGTAACAATATGCCTAAACAACTAAAAAAATCCAACAACATAATTATGCTTAAAAAACTATACTTCATCAAAACTAATAAGGAATAATTATAAAATTTAGCATCATGAGTATGCTTGAAAAGCTAAAAAATATTTCATAATAAGTCAACTAAAAGTCAACATGTTAAAAAATACATTTATATTAAAATAATAGGCGGGGCGGGGTCCCCGCGGAGCGGGGGGTGTATTCCCCGTCCCCGAAATGCTCTCGGGGGAATTTTTTTTCCCATCCCCGCCCCCACGGGGAAAAATTCCCCATCTTTGGAGCCCCGAACGGGGCGTTCCCCGCGGGGATCCCCATTAATAGGTCCAAACTGACATCCCTACTAGATATATGAATAACTTATGCCGAGGTATATGCGTCTTTTTCGGATTACATTCTTAACAAAAGTTCCTTTACCAATGAAACTTAAATTACTTGGTTCAAATATCATACTTCTAATTCAAATAATAATTGATAAATTCAAAATAATTAAAATTGTAAAATACAATTTCAACATAGTATAATTAAATATGTGTTCTTTTTTAAGATTGACGTTAATCTTAATTAATATAATTCATAATTAAGTTTTAAAATTTTAATTAATAATTATATTTTCAAGAAATCATTAATGACAGGTTATCTGATTTTCAAAAAATGATAAAAAATACAATTGAGTATAAAATCACTATCGTTTTGTGTTTGTATGAGTTCTAAGATCAATTCATCAATATATTTAAGAAAAAACAAAAAATACAGTTTTTGCTCATACAACATTTAATATATTTGTGACTTAATACACTTTTGATCATCCTATTTAAGCTTTTTTTAAGGTTTTAGTCCTCCTTTAAAAAAATCAACTTTTAAGTCTTTTTGTTTAATGTTTCTTGCATTTTTTTGTCCCCTATTAAATTTGTGTACGTGGCTTTTCAATTTATGACATGGCACTGACATGTCATTGACCAAGTGGTGCCGTGTCATAAAATTATGTCATATCAAATAAAAAATTAAAAAAATTAATATTATTATTTTTTAAATTTTAAATTCTGAAAATTTGTTTGTTATTATTTTATATTATTTAATAAGATATATTATCAGTTAGTATTTTTAATGAAATATTAGAATTATTGAATTAAATAAGAGATAAACCAAAATTTGAGCTAAGAGAAGATTTGAACCCACATCTTTGTATGAATGGCCATCTACTTACCATCTCTGTTGCGTTTATATAATGTCATTAGTCCAAGTTTAATATTTATATGTGTTTTTTACTCTCCTCAACATTCTCAACTTTTAACTCCATACTCATCTTTAACAGAGACATCGTTGTATGAATTTGATAAAGAAACTTACAGTGCAGATTCATTCAAAACCCTCACATCAATGTTTTGTTCTTGTATAGTTGTATCCACTTTAACATGTTTTACTCATTAAACAATAAAGAGTTGAGCAAACATAGACATGAATTAATATAAGGTATACACATAGGTTGGATATTTGAAAGAAGTTGTTGCAAGTTGCAAATTGTAACTGTAACTATCACTATGAAACACAATCTATATAAACTACCCTTCATACTTCTCCAAAATATATTCTCAGTGGATCGACACCATTCACAAAAACGGTTAAACCATGCAAGGTTGCTAGTTTTGTCTACGTGTATTCTAAGTTATATGAAGATTGTATGTGGAAGACCAAACAGATGACAGTTAGTTGCTCATTTTTTACGGTAATATATTTGCATCCTTTATTATTTTTGTACCATTTTCATAACATTTGTCATATGCCTTGCTAATAATTCATATATACCATTTTCAAGCATCGATCTCCAGGACTTCTCACGCATATCTGACTGGTCATATATTGATACCTACATAAGGATATGCAATGTGTTTGTGCATTCGTCCCGCTCAAAGTAAATCAGGTGATCGAGCCCTTCAGAGTGTATCTTGATTGCATAGTAGCAGATGATATACACTTTCAAGCATACAGAGATCGCTGTTAGACGCGTGCCTTAAATAACATAGCCTTCTACTTTAGATGATTGGATTGTGGATCACGTTTGATGTATCCACATTTGTTTGAGCCTGTCATGCATTAGTTTAGGTATATGTAGTTTGTTTCAAGAGACCCCACTGGTTATACTCCTCCCGCTAGGCCCCGCAGAGATGTTGATGTCATGTATGATGATTTTTTTAATCATCTGATGTCGTCTAAGGTACGAGGTACCGTAGCTCATGGCGATTGGAGTTGTGCATACGGCTATGTCTAGTGGTATTTCAGAGTGTCACATTCTTATATGACATATGATGCTCCCATAGATCCACCTTGATCAGTTCATAAGAGATATTAGAGGAGAAACAGACTAGAGTAGATAATTTTTGATAATTTTGCATGCATATCGTCGTATTATGGATCTTTTGCGGGCAAATATAGACAAACGAGTATTTCCAGAAGACTCTCCTGAAAGGAACATTGTACATGTCATTCTTACTGAGACGCGGACGACACTGCAGTATAGGAAGTGGTGAAGGAACGGGTCTAACATACGCAATAGTGTAGTATTTATATTAGGGACTATGAATATTCTTATCGTTTGTTACTTTTCTATTTTTGCTGGATTATAGATTGATTTATTTATATATGACATTCATCTTGTGCATTAAAGGTATGATTTTATTTATAATAAAAATATTATGATAGTATTGTTATAATACATGTTTATTATACTAGTGTATTTTTTTAAAAATCACTCTAGAGTAAATACAAAAGAATATATATGTAATATGTTATAAAGATGCATCTTCGAATCAATTTGAGATAAAATGAGTGTCTCAATTAAAAATGAATGGGATGCATATAAGATGAATACGAAAGTGTATCTCCAACCCATTTTTAAGCAAAAAGATATGTATTTGATTAGACTATTATTTTTTTTCTTGTATTTTTTATATAAATCAGATATCCTCTATGTACAATTGTAGAGACTAACTCTCGAATCGTAAAAGAACATAATAAAGAGAAAAACTCTACCTAAGATTGAGTTGAACCTAAAACCTCTAATTATCATGAAGAGGTTATTATCATCTCAACCAGTACTCTTGAATTCTTTTTCTTGTATAAGTGAGAAATAGTGGGAACATATATATTCCTAAATAGATATGTTTAATTCCATCTTCAGTGTGAAAAGAACAAAGTTGAAATTGAAATGCTATCCCAATTTATTTCCAATTTCTATCTATTTTATTATTATCACCAATGGCAGCTTCCAAGCACACACAAATAAGAAAAAAGTTATTGATTATGTACTACTTTTTTTAATAATATATTTGTGACTCAACACATGTACTTCTGTGGTGTATAATTTATATATCATTCTTTTTATGAAATAATTTATATATCATTTATCGTAACGTTTGTGTCATACACGGGACTATTTAGACTATTTGATCTAAATTTTTTTCTTGAAACTCAGAACAAGTAAAACCTTTCTAATAAAAAATAATCATGTAGAAATATTGGTGTAAAATTAAGTTTACAATGTTAGTGAAATCAATAAAACTCTTAAAGCTTTTTTTTTTATATAATCATAATTTTTGTCATCTTTCAAGACAAATCATTTGAAGATGTGTAAGATAAACTACTGCACATGACCTAAAATTTATTGCACTTAAATTATAACTTAATAAAGACATGAAATATTTGCCAGTGTTAAAATTAAATAAAACTTTTTTTTTTATTTTGCTATGGTTCATGAGTGATTAATCTGGTCCTTAGAAAAAACTTGAGACACAATCTAAAACAATATTATGCATCTATCATTGTCATGTGTAGGTGTTCCAATAAGATTGCATTGTTAGTCTTGAAGGCATGAAACACCACTTTTCTATAGATCATAAGAGATTTCATAATTCAAGCACTATTTTCAAATAATAATTGCATGTTTTTCCAAGTCCATGCAACAACTATAAATAACGAAGCCTTTTTCATTTTTCCACAAACAATAACCAATCCTGTATTCCATCTTATCTTTGTATTCTCTCAAATTTCAACTCAATCCAATGGGTTCATTCCAAACCTTCAACTTTGAAACTCAAATTCCCACAGAGCTTTTGATATCTCAAATCATGCAAATCCATGCAACAATTTCAAAGCTAGAATCTCTTAGACCATCAAAACAAGTCAACACCCTTTTGACTCACTTAGTTAAACTTTGCACCCTCCCTTCATCCATTGACACTGAAGCCTTACCACAAGAGATTAAGAAAATGCGTGAGAGCCTCATTCCCATTTGTGGCAAAGCTGAAAGACTTTTAGAGCTTGAATTCTCATCTTTCATTAGTCTCACTCCAAATCCAATGAAAAACTTAACACTTTTCCCTTACTACCGAAACTATGTTAAACTACCAAACTACGAGTACAAAATCCTCGAACAAAATGGCGTTGCGCATACAGAAAAAGTAGCTTTCATTGGTTCTGGTCCAATGCCGCTAAGTTCATTCATATTAGCAACTCATCACATGGAATCAGCTAAGTTCATTCATATTAGCAACTCATCACATGGAATCAACACAATTTGATAATTTTGATATTGATGAGAAGGCTAATGAGGCTGCTAGCAAGATCGTGGTTTCGGATAAAGCGCTCGAGAAGAGGATGAAGTTTGTAACACAGGATGTTATGGAAGTTAAGGAGAGGTTGGGAGAATATGATTGTATATTTTTGGCAGCGCTTGTTGGTATAAGTAGATGTATAGATGTGAAAAAGTGAAGATTTGGGGACATATAAGAAAGTATATGAAAGAAGGTGGTGTTTTGATTGTGAGAAGCGCAAAAGGGAGTAGAGGTTTTTTGTACCCTATTGTTGAAGAAGATGATATGGTGAATTTTGAAGTGCTTACTATCTTCCATCCAACAGATGATGTGATTAATTCGGTTGTTCTTCTTCGGAAACCTAATGCTTGAGTAATTGGTCTTAGTTATCAAATAAGTTGGATTCTTACTACATAATTTATGTTCAATTTCAAATGTGTGTTATTATGTAGTACTATAGTGCTTGCTTCGTTTGTTTTTGCTTGATAAGATGGTTGAAAGTTATGTATTGCATTTCACAATATGATAATAAATGTGTTTTTCATATTTTCGAGAGGCATATATTGGAGAAAATTTCAAAAACAAAACAAGTTTGTGTCATTTAATATGATAATGGAGAGGGCATTTGGTTCCCATTAATAGAACAAAATGGCACTTTCTGTATCAGATAAAGAGTAAAAAGTAAATAAATTTCTTATAAAAATAATGGAGCTGATAGATATAAAACAAAGTAAATAAGACATAAAAACTGTCTTATGTAGAGCAAGTTTACTAATAGTAGTATTAGTTCTTCCATTCTGTATTTTCCCCATCCCAAATCAAACACGTCAAGGGCTATGTTTTGATATAGAGAAAAAAAAGTAAGAAGAGAGAAAGAGAAGCTTGACTATGTTTTATATAGAGAAGAAAGTAAGAAGAGAGAGACAAGGAGAAAAAAAAGGAGAAAGATGTGAAAAATATTAGATTCCAGGTTGTGTTGTAACTTGTATTTACCGAATTGAGTGATGATCCATCAAATATCTTAATATCGTCCACATTTTTTCAATTTATAACAAAAGTACAATCATAAAGTCGATAGAATATATCCACAAGCCATATACAGCCTCATCTAAGATGCAAAATTTGTTGAGCAACATAATAGAAAAATATGATTTTGCTCCAATACAAGACTAGAACAGATTGTACAAAATGAATAGAATTCCGCATACTCTCCTAAAAAATTCAAATAAAACTTCGTACCCTCCAGGGAGAAAGAGAACGTATGGCAAGACATGATATTTGAACTTCTACATTAAATATGCATGGATCACCTAAGAAATTCATTACAAAGCCACTGTGAGGAAGACTTGAATGATAGTCTCCACATCTGCCACAATCGCCAGGACTATCTCAAACAGTCAGTATGTGACAAACCCAAACTGAGCATCCCAATATGGGTAACATCATTCCTATGATAATTAGTAATACAGTATACACACCAGGTTTCACTAGCAAGACAGATCAACATGCTGCAACATTTTGAGGGGAAAACACAAACTATCAATGGCGCTTTTAACTTGCATGAATCACTGTCAGAACTAAAGGCTTCAAAAATGGTAAATCAGTACAATAAAATTATAGATCACCACATACCGTGTTTTGATCAAGGTCCTTTAAAATGTACTTTTTCTTGGTTAAATGATAAGAGACGTTCAATTAGGTCTTTGCTAAGTGACCCGGGAACCTGTGATGTGAAAGCACTACGGGCATCTTGTATTAACTTCCTGCAAGTCATGTAGAGCATATCCAAATCAATAATTATAACAAAAGACAGTGAAATCTCATTTAATATAGTTCACATACTAAGAAATGGGAAAGGAAATTTTCAGTGCATATTTAAAAAAATTTAAAGAAATAACAAAGCACCCAAAATAAGAACCCTTTAAGATTGTACCCCAAAAAAGAGCATTTTAAGAAACACTCATTATATTTAAACTGGGATTTCAGCAACCCTTGGTTCTTCCTTCATTTTGTACACAGAATACAACAATCACTCTTACAAGTTAAAAGTGGGTACTTTTGGAGGAAAAAAGAAGCTCTAGCAAAAAAAAAAATTTTATTTCAAGGCAATATCCTAAACTTCATCATAAGCTCACACTGAGAACAAACAGTAGAGCAAGAACCATTGTACAGAGAGGACAAAACAGGGACTCAGAACAGAGTAATTAATGGAGGCTTGTAAACAGAAGAATAGAATAGTGACTCGGTGCATACTACATAGAATAATAAAAGGAGATTCGGAAAACAGAAAGGATTAAATTAATGGCTATGAAAACAATTGAGGCCGTTGATTAAGTCAGAAGCAACTTAACATAAGCAAATTTGCTCAACAATGAATAAACCAAACTGCAATGACGTTAGGTCAATGCTCACACCGGGAGCAGAAGCCTTAACTGAAAGGTGTCACCACATCAAACCAAACCAAACCACAACAATGGGTCAGCGTTCACTACGGCAGTTGAAGCCCAAACTTAAGGTGTCACAAGTTCAAACAAACAAAAAAGGTGTACAGCCAGTGCTCATTCCGGCTACCGAAACCTTAATCTGGAAGTGTCATAACTTCAGATCAAACTTAAACAATATTGACCAGCGCTCACTGCAGTATCTGAAACTCGAATTGAAATGGATTATGGCGGAACAACTCAAAATATGCCAGTTTTTTTATCAAAAGCAGCAAATACTTGAGGCAGACAACATAAAGATGTGCAAACTGACCAAAGATGCTCACGAACAGTGACAAATGCAGAAGAACCCAAAACACTTAACGACATGAACAGTGAACAATGCACAACAAACCATCACTAACTACGGCAAGGAGGTCGCAACAACACATCTTAAAAGTGGGACCCACAAGCTGGATGTCCCTTAACAAAACTGAATTGGCAAACAAGTTGAACTGGACTAAGACGACAAGAGCTGGGACTGAAATCCAAGTCAGGCACCAGAAAGGCCGACAGATGCGACGAACGGTAGTGCCGCGCTTGAGCGTGTGGATCTGTTTTTGGAGTAGAAGACTGAGATTGCGTAGATTGGAAGATTCGATACGCGATAGAGGTGGTTGTGACAGATAATGCGTCTCAAAAAAGTTTGCGGTGACAGCTAACGGAAGTGGAAAAAGATGGAAAACCATCAAAAAAGAAAAGAGGAAACTATTATTATATTTCCAACCTCTTGGGAACTCATCAGCAGAAAAGTGGCGAGACTGTTCGAGGAGGATATGGGATTTTAGGCAAAAGATAGAGAAATGTTTTTCATAATAGCTAAATATTGACTTGATACAGAACAGTCAATATCAATCCCTCTTTATTGAGATACTTAGCCTCAATCATAAATCAAGAGCAATTCGTGATAATAATAATAAGCAATATAAAATCTAATCTTAAGAGATACTGTAACATACTCCAAATTAATATTTTATAATATTCTAACAGCCCGCAATGTTATTGGGTCTTCCTCCTCCACTTCCATTTCTGCCCCTCCACTAATATACTTGTGATATGGGCTTAGCAGAGGTTATTGCAGATTGTGGTGGCAAATTTTTTGCCAACCGCTATCCATAATCAACAACACTACCAAGAACAACTTGTTAACTAAACTATAAAGGCCGTGTAAGAACTCAGCGTGGTAGATTCTCTTTTTGGTTGGAGGGTAGTTGAGGAGAGGAGAAAGAATGTATAACTTTATATTTTAGAGGCTTTGTTAAATTTTTTGGAGGGGAGGGAGGGGAGCAAAATCTCTCCCGAGCTAGTTTTAGCTCTCCTAGCAAGCAGGAAGACTTAGAGGGGAGATAATATATATTGAAATTTTGACATATATCCCTGTATTTAATGTGATTTTAAATATTATAAGAGTGAAAATGTAATTCAACATTTTCCATCATTAAAATTTCCGCCTCTTCCCCTTGTCGTACCAAACAAGGAGCATTTAAAAATCCACTTCCTGAACCAAACACACAGCATTTAAAAATCCATTTCTTCCATTGAACCAAACACACAGCATTTAAAAATCCATTTCCTCTATTGAACCAACTCACCTGGAATCTACAGTTACAGATTATTAAATAAATATACACCAAACTTGTAAGGAAGTTTTCCACAAACACCTAATCACATTTCACCGTCCTACTACATCATAATATTACTATTTCTTAACACTTATTTACACTATGGCAAGATGGTGAAATATTACACTGCTGTTGGATACTGATTAAACTCTAGTTTAAATTCATTCTCGTGCAAACTTTAAAAGTAATAGTGAAAATGGTTATTTTTACTTTCCCAGATTTGTGCTACAGCCATGTTAATGTGAAATATCAATATTCAATAGTCCAATGCATAAAGCAAAATGGTATATGATCAAACTTACCCTTTAACATCACTCGTTAAATTCTCTGCTTTTTCTTGCAACCATTTTCTCATATACTCATCAACCTTATCTGCCCAGCCACATATCCTCAAAACTGACTTTGCTTCTTTCCCAAGACTGGTTTTGAAAATACAGTATCAGTATCAGGCATATAACGGCTTTAGTAGTGTAAAGTATTGAACTGAGTATCAAAAGAAATAGGTGAGCAGGTGTATAAAGGCATGAAAATGATTTATCATATTTTAGCATGTGAGAAACTGAATAAAAAGCCAAAGAAATGAAGTGATAAATCATGACAAAAATAGGCTATTCAGAGCACCCACTAATTACTGATCCACAATATTTCCTTGGATTTGAAGGACTAGGTGGACTGCGTACCAATTACCAGATGGCATCCCTTACCCGGCAATAATGCTATCCAGACAATAACTAATACCAAAACCTTAATAAAATTAAGGTTCCAAGAAAAAGTGCCAAACCTTAGCTATAACTTAACAGTCTGAACTGAACCACCAAATTCTAAACTAGTTTATGAAACACTGTCAAAAGTATAAGAGGGTGCATTTCAATTTTCAATATATATCAGAAAACATAAAACATAGCTAGGCATCATTGAAGATTCAAGTTTTCATTTTATACCCAATAATCAAATAAAATTAAACCGTAATAAATCAATAAAAGATTGGGTTAAGGTATATATGACCATACCTGTCTTTCAGTTCTTCAACTCTGGCACGAGACTGATCATCATGTGCAAGCAAATTGCATGGAGCCTCATGTACTTTTCTCTTATTCCCTAACATTTTAGATTTGTTGATGACACCGTTACTTTCTCGCTTAAAGTTGCCAGGCCCTGTACCTGATATTACTTTGCTTCTATCGATATCTTCAGGAGGATGTGGTTTTACATAATCAGTATCAACCGTCTGAATACCAGTGTATCCATTTGTTACTGTCGACTCCTTTCTAATCGAGTTGTTAGCAACATCAACTTTATTTTTGGCAAAGCCATTCATGGTGGGTAATGATGAAGAAGGATCTTTCCTACCATTTTCCATAGAAACTAATTCTTTTGCATGCCCATTTGTTGGTAACGGCTGACTACTAAACATGTCAACTTTCCCATTGACACTTACATGGGCAGGACTTCTTTTGGAAATTGAACTACCATTAATGTCAAACTTCACTCGTAAGCCAGAAGGAACTTTACCAATCTTAGATACACCCGGCATATCTTTCCAAGAAGATTGATCAGAATTTGATTTTGCTTGCGCTGTTTTGAGTTGTACATCAACCTTAGAAGATTCAGATTTTTGACTCCCATTGGAATGATGGGGCTTTACACCATTAGATGCAAGAGAACTACTGACTGATGCTGGCCTTGGGTTAGTTCGAGAGAAAAAGAGGATATAAACCTTTTCAGACAAAACTTCCTGCAGGGTTGCAAGTGTTACACAAGAATCATCACAGCAATACCACCGACCCATTGCATCCTGTGAACAGAGTAGAAAAGTACAACCTTAACCATAAATTAACGTATTGACTATGTAACTTGCATTTATATAACTATAAATCCACAAACCTTTACATAAGCGTAATAGTGACCAGATTCCGGTGAGTATCCTGAATGCACAATAGTACCGAAGAGCTTATATTCTGGTTGTGGATCCTACACAAAAAAAGATTGTTAGAAAGAAATTGAAACACAATATTCAAATAAGGGAAAAAAGGCAGACTACATTGACCATGTAATACCAGGCTAACAAAAACATACACAGAATCATTGTTAGTCTTCACCAAGTAATTTATGTTTTTAAATGTTAAGAGTCGAGGAGGCTAAGGGTCCAATTGATGGAGAGTTGCAGTCCAACTGTGGGTTAAGATTTGGCAAGTAAATGCTAGAAGGGAAGAAAGGGAATTGTGCAATGTATTAATGAGGTAAGGTTGAGTGTCCATAGATGGTTACCTCGTAAGAGGACCTATCACTCGGAAAGGGAAACATAGGGAGAGTGTGTCAGGGAGGAATCTTACACAAGTCCCCCTTTTTCAATTAAATACCACCACAAAGTATCTACTAGTTGTTACTTAAGGGGTACAGTTATTATAACAACAACTACAGTTGCAAAAACAACTACAGCAAAAAGGAGCTACAAGAAACGGTAAAACGAATCATGTATGATTAACCAAACAAATTTAGGTAAAATAAACATAGCAAATTATTAGAAAGCTTCAGCAGACGCATTCGCCCCCGTGATTTTAAGAGAATAATTTGGATAGTGGAATATCAAAATTTGGATACTACAGAGTGACAAGCTTAAAGAAAGAACCAGACACAAACATCTAGCTAGCATGCCTTAAGCATCAATTATCATGTCAAGTGTGCCTCAGTGTGCAAAAACTGACACACTATCACAATAACTAGTTCAAAACAAACATTAAACGTACCTGGCTTGCTTTGCACATGAAGCTAGAAAGCACCAAAACCTCTTCAAATCCAACAGTCTTATCAATCTTGCCACCCAATATGCCCTCAAATCTCTACAGTCCAAATTCACCAACACACCATCATTACAAAAAATAAAGAACAACAAATACAAACAAACCTAAAACAAAGAAAAACAATAAAAGCAATGTTATCAAATGGAAGTTATATAGCACTACAGTGTAGCAAAATTTGGAAGAAAAAAAAATACTATTGTCCCACAATACGCTTTTACAATTAAACCAGTGCTTCAAATAGTGGCTATAGAGGCTCCATAGGCACTGTAGTGTAGCAAATTTGAACAGATTGATATTGTCCCACAATTCGCTATTTAGTACAAAGTATTGTCAAATAGACACTATAGCAGCGCTATAGCACTATAACATAGCGGAATATGAACAAATAACTATTTTCTACGAAATCTGAATATAACCAGCTAACCAACCTTGAGCTGTATCACAAGTACATTAGGTGCTTGAAGTATAGACATCTGCTTCTTAGCCGTCACCAACTTCTTACAACTAAACATCATCCACAAATCAATCAATAAAACCCTAACCCTAAGAAAACAAAATCAAAAAAGAAAAAGAAAACAACAAGCACTCACTCACCCGTCACATTTGTACTTATTGTTTCCATCTAAAACCTCAGGCTGAAAAAACTTCAGCATAGAATCCCTAAGCGAATTACTATGAAAAACATCTAAACTAATATCCATCATCTCATCAACCTTATTTGATTCGTATCCACAACTTAAACACTTAACCTGACTCTGCAAAGCACCACCAAAAATCTCCCTCACAACAGAAGCACCGCCGTCACCTCCACCTCCACCTCCACCACCTCCTTTCTTCCTAAGCTTCTTCAAACGAAGACACGAGTTATGACAAGCATCAATAACATAACGAAGAAACTCATGAGCATCCTCTTGACGACCGCAACGGAAGTGCTCAGCAAAGAGACGTAAACAGCTTTGGATCTTTGAAGGAGCGTCGGATGTGAGATCCACACGGAGTAACCGAGCAATTTGTTTCTCGAGTATGCAGAACGGACACGAAGAACCGGAAGAATCACCTGAAAAAGTTGAAAATTAGATTAGGTCACAGAAATTGCAGAATTTACAGAAATTACAGAAAACGAATGAAATTGAAAAGAGAGAAAAGTTACAGAGAGATGAATGTTGAGAACGAAGAGAGAAATTGGCGAGAGGAGGAGTGAAAGTGAGGCACTGAAGAACGCTATTGAGGTAGCAGGAGTTGCCGAGGTTACGGAGACCTATGGGAGGAGCGGTTTTGCGTTTGTGAGGGAGGAGATTAGGTTGCCAGGACATCTGCAGAGCCATCAACGCCGACGGCGACAACACGGTGAAGCCACCACAGCATTGGACGGCGTCGCCGTCGTCGATGGGGACCTCAACAATACTGAACACCGCCAACGCCACCGCAATCGCATCGCGCGAATTCGATAGCTATAGAGGTTCTTTTCAGTTCTCTCTTTCCCTCTCTGTTTCTGTTATTTTTTATCTTTTTTTTTTCTTCTAGGACCTTCTTAGTTCTTACCATAGTTTTGTTTATTTTTTGGTACAAAGTTCTTACAATAGTATAGTATTAAAAAGAAAAATAAAAAATAATAATAAACAAAGAGGAAGATAAGGATATTGTATGAATGTATTATTATTTTCTTTATATTGTTTTTTGGAATGTATAATTATTTTTTTAATTTAATATTGAATCGAATATTTTTGGACTAATTTTTTGAAAGTATAGGGTGCATTTGATTGATGTAAAAAACAAGTATTTCACCGAACACTACAATATAATATACACGGAGAAAACCGATAAAATAAAATAATTTTACTATAATTTCATCTAATATCTATTTATAAAAATTACATAGTATCAAATATTTCCTCTGTTTTTTATTATAAGTTATTTTAAAAACATATGTGTATCATGATATAAATTATTTTATAATATTAATAAATAATTAATGTTATTTTTTTATTATATCTTTAAATATTTATTATTCTCTCTCCTTTTAATTATGTAAATGTATTTCTATTTTATCACTATTGAAAGACAATTTTATAAAAAAATAATAATTTTTTTCTTACAATAATAATTTTTTTTTAATATATGTGAAAAATCTAAAACGTAATAAAAAAATTGAGGTAGTATGTGTTGACCCCATTTTACATTTACTTCAAATTGGTTAATTACTTTTAGGTACTTTTAGGTTAATTACAAAGTACTTTTAGGTTAATTAATACAAACTTTTCACTTTTTTAACCATTTTCATGATTGTGTTTCACGGTCTTTCTGCATTATTTATTTGCATACCTTCTTAATTTTCAATTACATATCTAAAGTTACTTAAAAATCACTTTGATAGCTACAAACTTTCATTGGAAAAGTAAGTTCAACTTCAACTATATATCTCCCGCTTCCACCTGCCCATATTGATACGCATGATACGCAAGAATTAGGAAAAATTCATTCATATCATTCATTCATAGCATAGAACTCGGCTGCTACTATTCAACTTCAGCCTTGCATATTTCTTTTGCCATTAACACTCTTTGGCGATTTCTGTACAAAAATTCACATGTTTTTGTTGTTGGTAAGAGATTGAGTGTTTGCTTTGATCATTTGTTCTTCCTTTATTTGTTAATGGTTCGTTTTAAGTTTAAATTGGTAGTTCGATTATTGTTTATTGTTGTTTTCAAATATTGTTGAATGTCTCATTCCCCTTCTCATCGAATTTACTGTTTAACTAGGTTTATTATGGTTTTTTCACTGTATTGATTATGTGTGTTTGATTGGTTTGTTTCATCGGTGTGTTTGTTTATTATCAAAATATCATTAACCAACACAGTTTGATTGATTTGTTTCATCTTCTGTAATAACGTGTTTGTTTATTATCAGGTCAATTTTGTAATTAACGCCACGTCCAATTGAGAATGTTAAGGATATCAATGACTCCAAGAATTTGTGGAAACTTGCTGTTAGGATTAGAGATTTTTGGTCAGTCACAAGCATGTCAAACAAAGAGAACTTAAAAATGGATATAATCGATGCAAAGTTAAGTTATTGTTGTATGTCCGGTATATGACTATATTTTTTTGTTTCAAACATATATAAGTTTTTGTATCTCATGGTGTTTATTTCTTTATTTGTTTTTGTAGTGTGACGTGATTCAAGTCACTGTACCACCACATTTGGTACATAAACATAAGTATACTATTATAGTAGGATATACATACATTATGCAGAACTTTAAGGTTGCTAAAAATGATTTCTCCTTCAAGGAAACTGCTCATAAGTTCAAGTTGATCTTTTGTGGTGCATCTTCTGTAAAATCTGTAGATTTGTCAGACATTCCTCGAAATCACATGGACTTGATTAGTATTGATCATATACTTACTAGAAAGTTTCAAACTGAGTTCTTGATTGGGACTTTATAAGTCTGTCGGGATACTAACTGCAAGTATACAGTTCAGTCGTTCTAGTTTTAAAAGATTATCAAACCCACAAAGACTGAGGATCAATCGCATACGATCTAATGCTACAGTTTGTCTAACTAAGCGATGAATATTCGATTTTTGGGGGAAACAGTTTAATTAAAAGTAATAGTACTAATTATACCGGTATGTGATAATCGGACTTAGGGAATTCGATGAATCGCTTGGCCTATAAAGTATTTCGGTAAAAGCTAATTGTTTAAAAACCTGAGACATACACTCTCGTGTTTATGAAATAAGTCATGCTACTAAACCTAGTGGATGCACTTTAAATTTAATAACACTTTTTGAAAACAATTTGAATTTAATTGATTTATTAAAACACTCTCGTGTATTTAAAAATCAATGCTTCATTACCACTATCTGGGTTGAACCCCAGCTCTCGCATGCAGGTTCTTGCCTTAATTAATTTCCCACTCTCGTGGCAAAATCGTGTTAATTAATCTCTCACTCTCGTGACAAGGATAGTTAAATTAATCTTGGAAATTGGAAACCAGAAATTGTTTTATAAATATTTTTGGCCAAGGTATCATTGAATTCTTTCAGTTCTTACGGTCACATACCGGTATTAATAATTTAGCCAGACATAATTAACTTAACAGCAATACAGTTTAAAATATAATTCATGGCAATAATTGGCATATTATAAAAACTGAATGAATAATAATTGCAATATAAAAAACCTTGAATCAAATTTGCTATGGTAATCTTGAGGTAATACAGTAATCCAATCTTCGAGCTTGACTTGCAGTAAATGATTCGTGTTAATTCTTGAAAGAAGAATTAACACTTAAAAATAGAAACTAAGGCTTTGAATGAAAATTACAAGAAAATGAAAACAGAATTCCAAAACAAGCAAATTGGAAAATAACTGTAAAATAAAATAATATTTGCTCTGAGTAAATTTCTTCGACCCTTGAACTGTGTACTGGTACTCATATATATAGCATAGGAAAAATCAGCAGTTTTTGAATTCTTGATGAAGTCTTCGTGGAGAAAATACAGGAGCACTAATAGTGGTGGCAAGAAAATAGGGGACTCGGTAGAAAAAGGGAGAACGAGTCTGCCCTTCACGCCCACGTCTCAATCCATGCATAACGTCCACCTTCACGCGCGTGACGGTCGTCACAGGTGGGTGACGGTCGTCACGCGCTGAAGTAGTGCCTTACGCTCGTCAGTGGTGTGTGACGAGCGTTTCCTTATGTTGTGGGGTGTTACGCCCGTCACAGGGACGTGACGACCGTCACTGATCCAGAAGTCCAAACTTTGTATTTTTTTTATTCTTTTTCTCTTTGTTTATCGCCTAGCCTTCTTCATGTTGTCCTTTTTCATCGGTTTGAGTCGACAAGTGTTATACCTGCAAAAAGACAAATAATCTCGGAATAATCGGGGGTTAGACGACTTAATGAAATATAAAATCGGTAAAAAGCATGTTAATTATACGATATGTTTTCTCGTTATCAAATTCCCCCATACTTAAACCTTTGCTTGTCCTCAAGCAAATAGTCATTCGAAAGGTCGGACAAGTTTTCGTCAAGCGCATAAGCATGACATACCTTGGATTTTTAAAGTGGTTTCGGGAAATCCTCGTTGGTTCGGCCAATACTTGAGTAAAACACTAAAGATACGCTAGTGACGCAAGCAATAAGCTTACCCGTAGACTTCCATTTTAAACGAGCTATCCAACAGTTTCGTTATAACTCTGCCCAGAGTTCCTCGTATTTATTTCACCCGGTTTCGTTCTGGCGCAATCACATTAAGCCCTTTGCCTTAGCATGCACGTAGTGGAGTAACCGGTTAGTGACTTTGATCCTTTAGCACGGGGTCTGGTACATGAATGTGGCAACCCTATATGTGTTATCCAGATTGGAGGTTGTGGGGGATCGGGGCGTAGCACGCCCTACCGAGTTCAGAACCAGATACCTCTGAACCAACCAACACTGGATTCCTTCATTATTTGCTCAGCTCTTATATGTGCCCGTATATTTTGGTACGCAGATTTTCTTTTCTTTTAGCAGCGAGATAGGAAGGATATTTTTAAAATCAGGCATCAAACACTTATATTCATCGATTCTCCACGTGGTTTGTGTCAAGACGGTGCTGACTGCTAGTATAAACTACTAGGGGTTACTTCTAGAACTTGAAACTCCAGATATCGGTATAATGGTTATTGAAACGGATCGCGTAAGTAGGAAGTCCATGGTGACAGAACCGTATCGATCTTGTTATGTCGTTTTCGGCTTCCTCAACTGGGATTTCGTTAAAATAGGTATGTCGGGCTAATGCGAAAATGGAAATTTTTCGGTATGGCAAAATAAAGCGAAGAATTTGAATCGAGACATATCGTAAGAATTTACTAGTTTTATAAAAGATTGAAAGGTACCTCTCCCACACAAGATCCGACATTGTCCTCAATGTTGCGGTATATATGCAGGGAAGTACAATTACAAAAACAAAAGGAAAAGAAATGAAACAGAAAAATAACAAATTACATAGAAATTAAAGAAAGAGAAACTACTGGTGACCACGTCCTCTGCTCCTGGTGCGAGAGCGTCTGGTAGGAGTGGCTTCAGTGTTGGTGTCTTGGAAGCCAAAGGTGTTCATATCTATCCTCAAGGCGTTAAGCTCTGACAGGGCCTCATCTAACCTCTCATTCATGTTGCGCTGCCCAGTCAAGATCTGAGCGTTTTGGGCGCACAGAGACTCGAATTGCTCAGCTTGCCTCCTTTCAAGCGCCGCATTCATTTGATTTTGCATGTGGAGGGCGCGGAGGATGTCTTCAAGATTGATAGGAGGAGGTGCAGATGAGGATCCTGGAATGT